TCGCAACAAAACTCTGCCGCCGCTGACTCCACGAGAGGCGCGACACCGCCGATGCGCGCGTTTGCGGCGGCAACCGATGCCACCCGCCACACTCCACCAATGCGCGTGGGCAGGACGAGGGCGCGAGAGCATTGGTAGCGCACCCCCAAGCCGAGCAGGGCCTCGCACGAGAAGCCTTGGCCTCTGCGGGATGCTTGCACGCCTTCCACGGGTGCACCCACCGCGGATAAGGCGAGACCAGACCTGCGTGCAACGCCGCGCGCCGCGCCATGCGCGCGAGCAGGAACGCTACGTGCCTTGGGACGGGCCGCGCGCGAATGGCCCTCTCTTCATAGAAATGCAACCGCAGGCGAATGCGTCAAAATGCCTCAGCGCGAGGCCGGCGCGCTGCGCCGGGCAGGAAAGCCACGCAGGTCACGGGCACCGCCTGCGTCATCTGCAGCAGCGCCTGCCGCGCGCGCGGCCGCGGAGCGAACGGCGCGACCGCGCAAACATTGCGAGGGCGCCGCGAATCGGGGACGTCAAGCGCCCCCCTACTTCTTGGCCCATTTCGCGGGCCGGGGCGGCGCGCGCGGCGCGTGCGGCGCCGGCCCCTTCGAGCTGCCCCACGCGCCCGTCTTCCACGTAGATCGGCCCCAGCCGCCGCTGTGCCAGGACGCACCGGAATGCGAAGAGCGCGTCTCCGCCGCGCCCTTGTTCGGCGCGGCGCGGCCACTGCCGCGGCCGTTGCCCACGGGCGTGGCCTGGGCGGCCTGCCCCTGCGCCTGCAAACGCAACTGTCACGCACGACGCGCGACGCCCCCGGCACGCGCGGGCGACCTTGGCTGCGCGGTCGAACTCGTTCTCGGCAGACCGCAGGGACAACGCGTCGAGCCCTTTCGAGGCCTCCTCTATATTGAACTTCTCGACGCCGCTCTGTCGCGAGCGCTCGGCCCAGCTCTCGCGGACGATTTTGGCGCACAGGAGCCCGGGCCCCGCCTTGCGGCCCGCGAGCGGAGCTTCCAAGGCCACCTCGCGAAAGGCAACGGGCGCGCGCGCCGCTACGCGCGCGCGCTGGCACGTCGCGGACCTGGAGCACAAATCGCTGATGCCCCAAGCAGCGCGCGTAAGATAGCTGCTTAGTGGCAGCAGCCGCAATCGCCCACGCGTCGCAGGCGAAGTGAAGCTCGGCCCACGACAACGCGCGCTGACCTTTACTGCCGCACTCAGCCGTCACTCCGTTGGCGTCTGCGTCGTCGACCCCGCGGGCGCTCGCGGCCCAGGTCGGGAGAAAGCCGCGCAAATCAGAGTAAACGAAAGGATTCGCGCATCCCCTCTTTCTCGCGCGCACGACCTCGGCAGCCATCCAATCACATTTCTCGCTCCCGTGCAAGGCAGCGACCGCTGTCACCGCCGCTGGCGCGCTCACGTGAGGGCGCGCCTCGGCCAGATCGTCTGGCTGAGGCCGTTCAACGTAATCGTCGCCAACTCAGCGCCCACGTCTACGCGGTGCACGGGGGCGGCCATTTCCACATTGGCCTCCGCCCCGATGCGAGCGCGCAGACCAGGGAGGTTCGCTGGGCGCGCTCGCGCACGCTACCTGCTTACCCGCAGTTGTGGCGCGCTCCAGCGCGCGGCGGAGCACGCCTTTCACGCCCGCCGGCAGGCCCTCCGAGCCCGACAGCTCTTCTGGCCGAATGTTCGCCAGCTGTGCCGGCGTCAGCAGCTTATTAGCGCCTAGGCAGTCAATCGCAGCCTTGCATTCGATGTCCGACCATTCTGCCCCGAACACGGGGTCTTGGCGCAGAGAGCTCAGCTCCGTCCGCCATCACGAACAAAGAAGCCAGAAAACACCAGCGTCGCACTGCTCGCGCACGCGGGGATCACGCGGCGGGCCGACTGCAACGCAGCGCACTCAACACGCGTACAGAAAGACGGCGAAGCCGGTAGCAACACGAGCGAGGTGCCTGCAGATACCTGGCCAGCCGCTTCGCAGACGCAAAACGAACGCGCGCACCCCGAACGCGGGGGAGGAACGGCGGCGGCGGGAACGCAACGCGAGATGCCTGCGGAAACCTGGTCCGCTTATGGCCGCGAGCGCGGGTCACGCGTCTTACCGAGCGGGCAGGCGCTGGCCAGCTGGTCGATCCTCGCGCATCATGCGCACGGCCCAAGCGGCACCGTGGCCGTCAGCTCCATCGAGGGACTGCCTGATGGCCCTGCGGCAGATGTGCGCCTCCGTGGCGACGATCTGCTGCGATCGCGCTGGAGGGCTGGATGCCCCCGCCGCCCGCACACGCGACTGTAAGAACACACAGAAGGGCCAATGTGACACGTCTCGCGACACGAGGCGGGCTGCGTCGACGGCACCTCGTCGTCAGACGACATCGCTACACGGCGTACTTAGTAGCCCGCGCAGCGACCCTCATGCGGCCTCCAGTTGCGGGAGGGAGCGCGCAAATCCACACTGGGACGACACGCACGGCACGAGCGCGCGCGCGTTTGTTAAAAGCGTTGTGGT